CGTTTGCTGTAGGTCAGTTAGAGGCTAGTTTTAATATTTTGCTATAGTTTAAATGTAGAGTTAAACTTTCTGTAGTATGTTGAAAGAATATGAAGTTGTTTCTGTCAACTTCAGGCACATTCCCCAATAGTTTCTCCCAGATAGTAGAATTCTTGTGATAGTTACAAATCATTGCCTGATTAATTGCCTGGAATGTGCAAGACATTGTACTAGATTGTGGAACCTCTAAGGAAGATGAGGCATTGGCTGTCTATCAGGAGTTTATTATTTAAGGGTAACTGTAGTACACTGTTTTTTACACTGTGTTTCCCTGGTGGCTCAGATGGTCAATAATCTGCCTGCAATGCAGGAGATCCAAGTTTAGTCCCTGAGTCAGGAAGATCCCCTGGAGAAGGGAATGGCTACCTACTCCATTATTCTTGCCTGGAGGATTCTATGGACAGAGGAGCTTCGTGGGCTACAGTCCATGGGGTCACAGAGAGGTGGGCACAAATGAGCAACTGACACACACATATCATACATTGTAGTAAGTATGATAATAGAGGTTAGGTACTAACTGCTCTAAGAGTGCAGGTAGGGGACACTCAAGGTGGGTCATATTAAATTTGTCTGGGTCTTGAAGAATGAAAAGTGAGCTTCCAGATAGGGATGGTGTGGAAGGGCATTCAAGACAGAGCAGATGGTATGGGAAAAGCATAGGGAATTTGAAGTACATTGTCTATTGGAGAATAAAGATCTGTTGAAGATGGGGCACAGGTGAACATGAGGACCAGAAATGAAGGTTCTCAGGTATCTTGTCACCTGTTTTACTTTATACTATAGATAATAGGGAACCATCGTATTTTTAAAATTAATTTTTATTGGAGTATAGTTGCTTTACAACGTTGTGTTAGTTTCCGCTGTACAACAACAGAGTGAATCAGCTAAATGTATACATAGATTGGGCTTCCCTGGTGGCTCAGATGATAAGAATCCACCTGCAATGTGGGAGACCTGGGTTTGATCCCTGGGTTGGGAAGATCCCCTGGAGGAGGGCATGGCAACCCCCTCCGGTGTTCTTGCCTCGAGAATCCCCATGGACAGAGGAGCCTGGCGGGCTACTGTCTGTAATATAAGAGTCAGACACGACTGAGTGACTCAGCACACAGCCCCCATACATACATCTCCTCTTTTTTGGATTTTCTCCCCATTTAGGTCACCACAGAGCACTGAGTAGAGTTTCCTATACTCTACAGTAGGAAGCCAACATAAATTTTTGAAATCTTCTTTGCAGTGAATTGTTTTTTTGCTTTTTTTTAAAGACAGTTGGACATTTGAAATAGGAAGAAGCAAAGGCAAACAAATTATGAATCAGGGGAGGGACAGTTAAACTACCATGTGTTTGTTAAGAGCCAATGTATGTCCATTTTGAGTATGGATCTGTTAACAGTGTAAGCAAGGTTAAAAATTTAGGCATGAAAAAAATTTAGGCATGCTGGTAAATTTATGATAAATACTAGTGGAGCTCACCATTGTGAATCTGCAATCACCTAGACCCATGGAATGTTAGCCCAAGAAGAGTCTTTCATGATTGTCCATTGTGTTAGCTATTTTAAGGGGATTTTTTTAAGGAAAGCAGCATGGTAGTAGTTGTACTTTTCAATTAATTGGTTGATTGAGAAAATATAAGATAAAAAGCAGTTGTTAAAAGCCTTGTTCAGCGTCTTATTTAACGATAATTCAGAGACCTTTTTTTGATGTGTTTCCTCTGTTGTTCCTAGATTCTTATTCTGATGAATGACCATTGTGTTCTTTGAATAGTATGTTATTTAAAATTGCTGTTACTTTTAGAAATTTGTGTTCACAATTTTACTTCACCCTGTTCAAGATCTCTGCCCACCTCCCACAGACACATGCCTTAGAGTTATCAATCCATTCTTCATTGTCACCTGTGGTTCCTGGAGAGCATCAAGTCCTAATTCCTTGTGGAATCCTTTATATATAATGAATTAACCTCTCTCCTGTGCATCTGCCACGGAAGTATTAATTTACCATTCTTCTGAGAATTAGGAAAATAGTCACTCAAGTGGTTTTCTCTGGTTCGGATGAGGAACCCCAATTGTCAGAGGATTTGTGAATTAGGCCATCCTGGGTGCTGTGTTTCCTGATAAATAATGAGAATGGCAAGGTTGCTTTCATCTGTCTCCCAAATCTCCCTTGTATTTTTTTAAAAATAGACTTTATTATTTACAGAGCTTTAGGTCCACAGAAAAGCAGAAGGTACAAAGATTTCCCATTGTATTTTTTAAAATCTCTGTATCCTTTATCATTAAGCATAAAGTCTGGCACATTGATGAATAAATAAATATATGTCATTTTAAAATGGTTTATCTTTTTTTATTTTAAGAAGTTCTTTCCTACACTGAGATCTTTATTTTTCTTCTTCATATTTTAAAGTTTTGTTTTTCATCTTAGGTTTGCAATATACTTGAAATTTATTTTTCTGTTTGATATGTTTAGAGATGTTATAATTTTTTTTTCTTTTTGCCATATGGGTACATCCAGCATCATTTACTGATTAGTTAGCTCTCTTCCTCCATTTTGCTTTAATGTCATGTCTTCTCATCATTTTTTCTGTGTATGTCTAAATTCTAATTTAAATCTGTGTCTGAATTCTGTTTTTTTCTTCCTTTATCCTTGCATCAAACAAAACTGTTTTAACTATTTTAGCTTTCCAGTAATTTGTAATATTGTATAGGGTAAGTCCTTTTACATTTTATAATGCCGTTTTAGGTTTTTTTCCTTTGTTCTTCCAAATATGTTTCAGAATCAGCTTGTCAGTGTCCTTGGAAAATCTTGTTAGGATTTTCTTTGAAGTATATAGGTTAATTAGGTGAGAATTGACATCTTTATGATGTTACTCATCATTCAATAAATAGTTATGGAGTACTTCTTGTATACTAGGAACTGGGAATATAGTAGTGAATGAAACTTGCAAATATCCCTGGACTCATGGGTTTATGTTCTAATAGAAGGAAATATATTCTATTACTCATAATAGCCAAAAACTGGGATTAGTCTAGATGTCCATCAGGTATATCTGTACAGTGGAATACTACTCAGCAATAAAAAAGAAGAAACTACTTATACATGCAGAACATGGATGAATCTCGAAATATTATACTAGGTATAAGAATATGGTAGACTATATATTTCAGTATACTACATATTATATGATTCTATTTATGTAGAATGTCTAAGGTAAAAATATAGTAACACAAAGCAGATCATTGGTTGCCTGTTGCTTGAAAAGGGAATGAGAATTGATTCCAAAATGGTATGAAGAAACTTTTTAGGTGATGGAAGTGTTATGAAACAGGATTGTGGTGATTTTTGTACAATTGTATATATTTACCAAACTTTACTGAATTGTAAACTTTCAGTGGGCAATTTTTATGATATGTATAAATTATATCTCCTAAAGCTATTTAATTATATTATTTTGTGCCAACGCAGATGTAACTCGAGAACATTCTAAGTCACAAAAGAAGCCAGTCACAAAAACCCAGATGTATGATTCCTTTCATATAAAAATGTCTAGACTTGACAAAGCTATATAGAGAAAAAGGAGATTGATAGTTACCTAGGGCCAGGGTGATTGGGAGGGAAATAGAGAGTAACTCACTAATGGGTATGGGGTTTCTTTTTATAGTGACAAAACTGTTCTAAAACTGTTTTGGTCATGGTTGCATAACTCTAAATATACTAGAGACCATTGACTTCTACACTTTAAATGGGTGAGTTGTATAGTGTGCTGTCTCTCTCTTTAGTTGCTAAGTTGTGTCCGACTCTTGCAACCTCATGGACTGTAGTCTGCCAGGCTCCTCTGTCCATGGGATTCTCCAGGCAAGAATCCTGGAGGGGGTTGCTATTTCCTTCTCCAGGGGATCTTCCCAACCCAGGGATCAAACCCAGGTCTCCTGCACTGCAGGCAGATTCTTCACCGACTGAGCTATGAGGAAAGCCTGTCCTGTATAGTGTGCAAATTATCCCAGTAAAGCTGTTAAGAGAAAATAAATAAAATTATATGCTGTATATGAAGGAGAATCAGTGGAGGGAGATGGTGGTGGGTGATGGTGAGGGAGGCCTCACTGAGAAGTTAACAGTTGAGCAGAGACTTCAAGGAGATGAGGGATTAAGGGATTAATTTGGGGAGGAGTTTTCTAGGAAGAGAGGATAATCAGTGAAAGATCTGAGAAGGAAGCATATCTGACATGTTTGAGAAGCATCAGAAAGGCCAGTATGGGTGAAATAAGAGTGAGCACAGGAGAGAGCAGTAGAAATGAAGCTGGGAGATGGGACCACATAGGGCCACTATAAGGACTTGGGTTTTTATGGTAAGGGAGATGGGGAGTCAGTGCAGAGTTTTGAGCAGAGGAGTGCCATCATCTGATGTAGGTTTTTAACAGTGACTACTGTTCTGTAAATAAACTGAAAGGTAGCATGGGTGGATGAAGGGAAACCAGTTAGAAGGCAGCAGTCCAGGAGAGAGAAAAACGACTTGAACTGAGGTTGAAGAAAAACATGGCCGGATTTTTAAAATATATTTTGAAGGAAGGAACAGCAAGATTTGCTGACAGATTGGAGATGATATGTGAGAGAAAGAAGAGTCGGAGGAGATGCTGTATTTTTTGGCCAGAGAAACTGAGAGGGGGCAGATGGAGGATAAAGCAGATGTTGTGGAGTGGGGGGGAGGAAATGCCAGGAGTTCTGTTCTTGTTATGTTAGAGAAGTCCATCAGACATCCAAGGATGGATCTGAGTAAGCAAATTGAATGTCTAAATCTGGAATCTAGGAAAGATGTCCTCAAGTAAAGATTGTATTTAAAGCTATGAGTCCTCTAATCCACCAACACAGTATATGTAATAAGATGAGACTTTACCTTCCCTTATGATAGACTTTTAAAAACGGTTAACCTTCTCTTGCCTCCAATAAATAATGTTAATATTCCTGTATTTAAGGATCTTCAAGATGAAGTGCAAAGGGAGAATACTAATCTGCAAAAACTACAGGCCCAGAAACAGCAAGTACAGGAACTCCTTGATGGGCTGGATGAGCAGAAAGCCCAGCTGGAGGAGCAACTGCAGGAAGTCAGAAAGAAGTGTGCTGAGGAGGCCCAGCTGGTAAGGCCTGGCTGCTTACCGTTGCCTGTGTCTTTACCTTAGGTGCTTTTGCTGGCTTAAGATAGAAACCCTCTGTGCTCGTTGTTGTTGCTGTTGTTAGGTGCCAATCTAGTCAACATGAAGTTTGGGAACATGAAGGAGATGGGGCATGTTTCATCTAGAAATTACAGGGGAAATAGGACACTGCATTTTTTTTTTCCCCTAAAATTTAGTTGGAAGTGTGGTACCTATGTCTTCCACTCTCCTCTGTCAGTCCCTGATTGCCCTTTTCTACAGAAAATATACATCAAAAACACCAAAATAGTAAACTAAAATAAATATTGCATTATAGAACATTTTAATGACATCTCTTTTTTTAATCCCCTGGTTGTCTTCATTCACCTCATGTTGTAGATCTCATCCCTGAAAGCTGAACTAACTAGTCAAGAATCACAGATCTCCACTTACGAAGAAGAGCTGGCCAAAGCGAGGGAAGAACTGAGTCGCCTACAGCAAGAAACAGCAGAGCTGGAAGAGAGCGTGGAGTCAGGGAAGGCTCAGCTGGGACCGCTCCAGCAGCACCTGCAAGATTCACAGCAGGAAGTCGGCTCAGTAAGTCTTTGTGGGAGTGAAAAACACACTCCAGTGGGCACTCACGTATCCTTTTAGTACACAGTATTTTCTCCACTTCTACTGCTGCTGCTTCCGTCCAGTTTATTGTTCATTTTCTGTCGTTTTATACGAATAAGCTTCTTGTCACCTGTCATAAGTTAAAACTGTTGTGAGTCTTATACATCTGATGATTATCACTGAAATCTTGTTGAGTGTGCAGGCTTTGTAGTTAGATGGTTTGGATTTAAAGGCTTGCTCTGCTGCTTACTGCCTGAGTCATCTCAGTGTTAGATTCCTCAGCTTGGAGAACTGGCAATTCCCTCGTGGCTCAGCAGTAAAGAATCCACCTGCCAATACAGGAGACATGAGTTCAATCCCTGAATCAGGGAGATCCCCTGGAGAAGGAAATGGCAACTCACTCCAGTATTCTTGCCTGGAAAATCCCATGGAGAGGAGACTGGCGAGCTACAGCCTCTGGGGTTGCAAAAGAGTTGGTTGTGACTTAGTAACCAAATAACAATAACCACCAGAGGTTAGAATTTTGCCCTTTTCACTGCTGAGGACACGGATTCAATTCCTGATTGGGGAACTAACATTTAAGATCATGCAAGCTGCACAGCATGGCCAAATTTTTAAAAATAAATAAATAAAATAAAATTGGAGAATTAACAATATGCCTGCCTCCTTTAGCTGCTTTTAAAGTTTAAATGGGGCAAAACCAATGAGACATTTGAGCATAGGGTTTGGTAAATAAGTGCTCGGTTAAGTGTTGCTTATTTTTATAAATAATAACCGGGTGTCTTGCTTTTTGGGGATTCTAATCTTAAAATCAGTTTTTTTTTTTTTTTTAAATCAGTTTTGCTCATTTAGAAACCTTTATTTTTTTGAAATTAGGAAATTTTTCTTTATATAGATAAATATGACTGTTGTGGTAGGTCCAGAATATCAATCCTTCCCTTTGCTGTTTCTTGACTTCCCTAAATGGGGAATAATATTTTATAGAATGATGGTAGGATGGTTGGATGTGTGTAGAGACTGTATAGCCCATTTCTTTCCATTTGAATTTGAACAAACTGAAACCAGGGAAGGTTAAAGAACTTGCTTATGGTTATGTAGCCTTCAGAAGAGCCATAGCCTAGAATTCAGATCTTCTGAAACCTGGTCAGTTAATTATTATATATAATGAACTCCTTCTCCTTGATATGCTTCCTTCCCCTCTCTTGTCTGGCAGATGAATACCTGCTCACCCATCTTGCAAGCCATAGCTTAACCTCTTCTTCCTTTGTGGCATCTTCTGAATCCTGCCTTTTTTGGACATTGTACTACTGTTACAGTAATTGTAACATTTTCCCCTGCACATTTGTTTATGTATCTACCTCTCTCAGTAGATGGAGCTTTTTGGTCTAGAAACATACATATTTATCCAAGTGTTTAGCACAGTTCTTGTCTCAGTGTAGGTACTCAGTTAACATGTAGTAAACCCAAAAGAATTTTATACTAGTGGGAACGATAGCAGATAAATGAACAGTCTTTAAAATAGTTTTATTTGAGTTTTTAAAATATTTTTAATGTTATTTATAGACTGTAAAATTAACCCATTTTAATGGTGCAGTCCATGATTTTCAGTAAATTTGATGTTTGAGAGTTGCTCAAACATCACAATCCAGTTTTAGAATTATTTCCCTTACTTCCAAGAGACCCTTGTGCCGTTTATCATCAATTCCCACCCTTACCTCTGGGTAACTACTTTCTGTGTCTATAGATTTGCCTTTTCTGAGCATTTCACATAGAAGAACTGAACACTCTGTGGTCTTTCTCATGTGGTTTCTTTCACTTAGTGTAATGTTTTTGAGACCCTTCCATGTTGTAGCATGTAACAAAATTATAGTTCATTTTATAAGGTGTGTTGTTTATCTATTCACCAATTAATGGGCATTTGGATTCTTTCTTCCTGTTGACTATTATGAATAATGATGCTATGAATTTTCTATTTGCATACAATTCTTTGTGTAGACATGTGTTTTCATTTCTCCTGGATATGAAATAGTTGGCTATATTGTAAATTTACGTTAAACTTTTTTTTTAACTTTAATTTCCAAAATGGCTGTACCATTTTAATACTTGCCCTAGCAATATATGAGTTCCAATTTCTCCACATTTTTACCAACACTTTTATTGTCTTTTTTATTATAGACATTCTTGTAGATGTAAAGTGGTACTTCATAGTTTTTAATTTGCAATTCTCTAATGACTAGAGATGTTGATTATCTTTTCGTATGCCTATGAGCCATTTGTACATCCTCTTGGATGAAATGTCTGTTTAAAGTTTTTTGCCTGGACTTCCCTGGTGGCTCAGATGGTAAAGTCTTTTGCCTGTTTTGGGTTGTCTTATTACACAAGTTTTTAAAAATATATATATGTATATTCTGGAGATAAGTCCTTTATCAGATATTTGATTTACAAATAATTTTTCCCAGTCTCTGGCTTGTTTTTTAATTTTCTTTTCTTTGACTTTTTTGAAAGGGGATTTCTTTCAAAGGAAAGAGCATAAATTAGAAAAATAGAAATGACTCCAGATATTGTGAATTATCAGAGAGAAAATAAAGCCATGTTTTTGAGCATGGAAGATAGTGTCAGCAGGCTGTACTACCAAGTGTTTCAGATATCTGTAGAAGGGATTAGATCTTTGTGTCTGATCTCCAGATCTTAAGAATAAACCTACCAAATTCTTACACTTGACTCAGGTACCGTGTGTCTTTCCCACAGAGGGCAGCATATTCCCATGGGCCTATAAAAAAGAAATTTGGTTGTAAATTAGCCTGATACTTTTATTGCTCTCTAAAACTTAGCTATATTTTTTTTGGAAAAAGGAATAAAGAGAGATTTTGTGACTTGCTGAATTTTTATTTTTATTTCTTACCTTGTATTTTCTAGAAAACAAAAAACCTTTGACCTTTACTCTGTGTAACTTGCTTGCACAATGTATACTATTTATCCAAGTATTTCTGGCAGTTTAAATGTTTGTTGTACTTTTCTTGCACAGTTTGCAGAGAGCTTGTGTTAGTTGTGTGATGATTTTTTTCTATATCCTTTTAAGTTTACCTAGAGAGTAAGGGAGAACACAGGCTTAAATGGCAGGTGCCTGGGAGACTCAGACACAGGAAGGCCAGGTTGTATTCATGATTCTATTGATTGTCTCAGGAATAAATAAGGAACAAACTGTCCTACATAGAACTCTCTGATAGGCAGGCATTTCACCTGACTGCTTCATCTATATGGTGAGTAATGGTTTAAATTTTTAGACTACAAGGTAGTAGCAGTAAAATTGATTTAATGATCATGATAAATTATTTAATGAAGTAAGAGAGAATAGGAAATAACAGCATACATTACACATAGTAAGGATGAGTATTACTTCATGAAACTTGTTTCACCCCTGTGTATGTGTGTAAATGTATAGTTATATGTATGATATATGCATCTGTATGTATGTTTTATGTATATATACTCACAGAGAGACATATGTACATATATATTTACTAGGTCAAAGTGTAAACTCTATTTCTTTCTGTAGATTAAAGTAAAAGTAAGTTTATAAACCACTGCTCTATAGCACTAGTAATATACAAGGCATATGCTTTGTGTTATAAATGTGTAGTATTTTTGATTGTTATTTTAAATCCTAAATGAAATGCAATTTGCATGTATATATACACAAAATGAGATGTATATATATATATATATATATACACACACACACGTACACACACCCACACACATACTGATGCCCACTGTTTAAATATATAAGCATAATACTTGTGTTTTTGAGTGAACATTTATTAAGCACCTACAGTATGCATCATTGTGCTAGATGTTAGAGATACAAAGTTAATAACAAAAATTTGGTCTCTCTCCTCAAAAGGCTCTAGTCTTTAACATTTTAAAAATAGACTAGTAGAAAAGGAACAGGAAATTTTAATTGTTATAGTAGTGAGAAATGTAGTATGCTAGGTCCTTTTACACACACTGTCCTTCATTTACATAGGCCTTTACATTTTACAGAGTTCTTTTAAATATATCTTTTACTTCACATAACAATCTTCTATGAAGATAGTTCTTACTACCTCTCTGGATTAAAAAATGGAAGCTTGGAGAGGGTACTTTGACTAAGATAACCTAATAATTAGAAAGTGATAGAGCTAGATGTACATCTGTCTGCTTATCCAATATAATGTTCTTTTTCCAGGCTATGATCCTCACTTCTCCTTTGGTAAATTATAGATTCCAAATTGAGCAACTTAAAAACTTTATGGGAAATATTAGGGGAATAAGATTAGGGAACAGAGATTTACAATATGTCAATAGGTAATTTTTATATTTGCCAGAAACAAAAAATATATATAACATGCTAATAAATAGAGGATGCCAATGTAATTAAAATATATATATATTTTATGAAAATGACACTATGCAGTAAAGTTCTGTTTATTTTTTTCAGTAGAAACATTTTTTTATTCTGTTGTCTCAATTTCTTTGAAATATATGTAAATGTGTTTTTATTGAAGATATTGGTATAAATAAGCATTTTTTCCTTCTAGTTCCCAACATTTTTTTAATATATATTACAATTTATTGTGTTGTCCCAGGTGTAGAAAGTCAATGGATATTGAAATTTTAAAAAACTTTGTCCTTCATTTAACCTGTTTGGTATATTTTAGATTTAGAGACTACTACTTAAGGTTCTAGCCCATTAATAAATAATGCCAGGGGATAGGACACTAGCTCATTGCACCTTTGTTTTCACTTCTCTTCTTCCCAATAGGAATATGAATGGCTCCAAAGTCTTATGTACTCTTCCTCTATTTCCTCTCCCTCTCCTAAAGCGTCATCACAAAATTTGTCTTGCACTACCACTTTGCCATCTTTTTCCCAATACTCTGACACTTTTTCTAGTTATATTCTAAAGGACTGCCAATTAGCAGATATTTGAATTAAAATTCTTGGATCTTTCAAAAGATGTACAAAAGCAAATCCATATATACTGTAATTTCAGGAGGAGAACTTACTGGGATGGATTACTGAAATCCTTTTCTCTAAGTCATGCTGCATTCCTTAATGGAAGCAGATTTATCCTTGATCAAGTCTAAGCATATAATTATTTTTATATCACAAGTCTTTCTAGTAATTTTGTCTAGTTTTTGTCTAAAAATGTCTTTCTAGTAAATTCTGTTTTGTATTTCTTCTTTGTGTTGACAGATGCAAATGAAACTTGTGGAAATGAAAGAGCTGGAAAACCATAGTAATCAATTAAATTGGTGCAGTAGTCCACACAGCATTCTTGTAAATGGTGCTACAGATTATTGCAGCCTCAGTACCAGCAGCAGTGAAACAGCCAATCTTAATGAGCACACTGAAGGCCAGAGCAACCCAGAGTCTGAGCCCATACACCAGGAGTCTCCAGTGAGTCTTACTAGTTCCTTTAATTCCATAACCAACTTCAGAAGGAAAAAAAACTGGTTCAGATGAAAGTTCTGTTGACATCATACCTAATATAAATATGTGGCCTTGCCTCATCTGAGACAATTGAGAAAGGAAGAGTGGGTTCTAACAGTTTTAACTAGTGCAAAATGTAATTTTAACTGATCTATTTGTTATAGAGGCATGTTTTCAAAGTTGTGGTTCTGTTAGATAGTAACTTTTGATAGTATTTATTTTTAAGTAATCTCATCCAAAGCTGAAAGTAATTATTTCATAATATTGAAGACATTTATTTACTTTTTTTTTTGAGAATATCAGCTAATGCAAGAGTGCTGCTCTTCTGAATGAGAGCTACAGAGACAAAAAACCTTTAACCCTGTCTTCCAGCTGCATGCAGTCTAGTTGTGTAACACTATGTTAAAAGGCTGTGATAAAGTAAATAGGGTATTTAGGTAGGACAACTTGGAGGAGGCTCAGAGATGATGTCATAGGGAAGCTTTACAAGTGACCACTGAAGTGAGAAGAGGTTAAGCAAAGGAGAAGGTGGTACATTTCTGGCAGAGGAAACAGCATTAGCATAAGTATGTATTGGGAGAAAATATGCTGCACGGGATCATGAGAGGTTTTCCGAGGTTGTTTTGTGATGGTGAGGAATGTATTGGGAGGAGATGAGGCTGTCTCCTGTGGGTTACCTGCATTACCTTTGGTACTTTTTATCAAGATAGAGATATCTGTGCCCCATTCCAGACTTGTTGAACTAGAGTTTCTGGGTTGGGCCCAGGTACATATGTTTTAAAAAACAAACTCCTACGTGATTATGTTATGTGCCTAGATAAAAATGACCACTTTCAGGTCAGAAAGGACCAGAGTAAGAAATTTTGATTCATCTTGCAGCATTGGGGAATTTGCCTTACTACAGTGAGTAGCCATTGAAGAATTCTTAAGCAAGAAGTGACAGGATTGAGTTTACCTTTTAGAAAATCTGGAGAAGGCATTCCCTGGCAGTCCAGTGGTTAGGACTTGGTCAGTGCTTTTATTGCTGTATCCTGGGTTCAATTCCTGGTCAGGGAACTAAGATCCCACAAGCTGTAGGGTGCCACCAAAAAAATTTTTTTACAGTGGATTATAGATTGGAGAATAGGACTAGACATACTGAGAAATGGTGAGAGACTATTGGGGTAGTCTATGTGAGAATTGTTTTAACCTGGATCTAACCAGTAGCAGGAGGGATGATGAGAAGAATACAAATTTGATAGATACTAAGGATTTAAAATTAATAGATTTAATGTTATTTGTACAGTGCAGTCTTGAACTTCACAATATTCTTTTAAGCACAAAATGCAAATTGCTAGGCTATCCTTCAAAGACATAAGATGGTATGAAATAGAAGTTGGTTTTGCCACTTCTTAAGACTTATTATCTTACTGATCTAAATGCAGAAAGCAATGATGTCATTGAAGGACTTCCAACCAGAAGATCGTGATTAGATTCATATTTTAGATCTATTACTTTGGCTGCCCTGAGAAGGATAGATGTGGAGGACAAATATTGGAGGCAGGAAGACAGTTGGAATATTATTACTACAGTAATATGTACCAGAAATGATGATGCTATAAATGAATGGTAGTGACAGTCAGGATGGAGAAGAATGGAAGGATTTGAGAACTAGATGAGAAGTAGACTCCATAAGACTTGGAATCTAGCTGGGGGATGACCAGAGGGATGTAGTTAAGGAAGAACTGGGGTTTTCTGGCCTTGAGTGGTTTTGAGGCTTGATGATATCATTTTCCTAAGAAATATTATAGAGGTCATCCAATGAATATATTTTGCTTATCTTTTAAAAATTTTAGTAGTTTTTGACTCTTCTTTGTCAGTTGCCTCTGCCAAGTAGAAAATATATTGTGAAGAATTAATATTTTGAAGGATTAATATTTTGTAGGCAAGAAGTAGTCCTGAAATACTGCCTTCTGGTGTGACTGATGAAAATGAAGAGGTGACTGTAGCTGTTAATGAAAAAGTTTGTCCTGAATTTAATAGTGACAGATGTTCAAAAGAGGTAAAAATAATTCTATATTAATATGTAAATGTTCTTATTCTCTTCTCAATATGGGTTATATACTATTTGATGCTAAGGAAAGAGAAAAATGTGTTAAATGGACTTTATGACCACAAAAATATTTGTTATGTTACCATCAGTTGATTTTTCAACCATGCTATTTTATTTTAAGATGTTACCTTTTAAAACTTTTGGTTTCTAAAACCTTTTTTTTTTAATTTTAAATTATTTTTAGGAAGATCCATTTAATGTAGAAACAAGTTCACTGACAAATCCAGTTGCAGATTCAAACTTGGATTTTTTCCAGTCTGATCCTTTTGTTGGCAGTAAGTATTCTTATATTTACATTACAGATTTACCAAAAAGGACCATATAAGAATTTGGGCTTCAGTTTTGAGAGCCTACTTGTTATAGCAAAAGTAGAAAAGAGAATGATGTTTTTATATGGTCAGACTTTAGTATTTGTCCTCTCCAGGCAACTAAATCCTGGAACTAAGCATTTGATTATGCCTTAGGAACCCCTGATTAAGAGTATGTTTCTCCTTGAGAATAGAGACCCAGAGAAAGAGAAGAGATTGGGCAGTCTTAAGTCAACCAGCAATTATTTACCAAAAGTGCCAACACCATGCTTTTACAACAACAGAAACTATAGTAGTTAGTAGTTTGATCCCTGCCTATAGTAGTTAGTAGCTCCCTAAAGTCTTATTGAAGAATCATAAGTTCAATAAATTAAAATACCTGATGTCATCATAAGCTATGTTAAATACCACTTATGTTAAACTTCTTTTTATTTATTTCCAAACTCACCTTGTGAAACTGATAGGTCAGTTTTTTACCAGTTTTAAAGATGGGAAACTAAGATACATAAGTGGAATAATTTGCTCAGAGGCATGGCCAAAATGAGCCTAGAAATTAGAACTCTTCTAAGAAAGCTTCTTTATTAATATATATATATGTAGTGTTAAAAGATATGTAAATTGAGCATTTAAAGTATATAATTAAATGGTTTGAGTACATTTACATAGTTGTATAATCCTCACTGAAATCTAGTTTTGGAACAAATTTTATTACCCCATAGAGCAACTCCATACCCATTATAAGTCATTGCCTGTTCCCCTAACCCTCAATTCGCCCAACCACTAATCTATTTTCTGTCTCTATAGATATGCATACTTACGGAATTATACAATATATGCTTTTTTATGTCTGGCTTCATTCATTTAGCCTAATGTTTTCAAGGATTACTCACATTTTAGTATGTTTCAATATTTCTTTCTGTTTTATTGATGAATATTATTATATGGATGTACCACATTTTACTTATTCATTGGTTGATGGACTGTTCGGTTGTTTACACTTTTTTGGCTGTTTTGAATAATGCTGTTGTGAACACTTATGTACAAGTTTTTGTGTGAATATATGTTTACTTTTCTTTGGGATATATATCAGATCATAGTACTCTGTTGAATCATTTGAGGAGCTGCCAACTGTTTTCCAAAGTGTCTGTACCAATTTTTATTTATATATATATAAATAAATATATATAAATATATATATATATTCCCACCAGTAGTATATGTGGCTTGCAATTTCTCCATATCTTTGCCAACACTTGTGACTCTCTATCCTTTTGATTATAGCCATCATAGTGAGTGTGAAGTGGTATCTTATTTGGGTTTGATTTATATTTTCTTAATGACTAATATTGTTGAACATCTTTCTCTGTGGTTATCGGCCATCCATATGTCTTCTTTGGAGAAATGTTTATTCTAATCATTTGCCCTTTTTTAAATTGGTTGTTTGTCTTTTAATTATTGATTTGTAGGAGTTCTTTACATATTCTGAATATAAGTCCCTTATCAAACCTATGATTTGCAACTATATTCTTGTGTTCAATGTTGTCTTAATTTTGATGGAGTCTAATTTTTTTTTTAATGTTTTCTCTTGTGCTTTTGATTTCATGGTGTGAGATAGGGGTCCAACTCTATTCTTTGCCAGGTGGCTATCCAGTTGTCCCAGTACCATTTGTTGAAAAGACTATTCTTTCCCCCATTGAATTGTCTTAGCACTCTTGTCGAAAATCCATCCAGTAATACTGTGAAAAGTAGACATTTTGTTAGTAAAATTCTTGCCCTCAAGCCTGTGTTTTCCCCTCCATGTAATCTGACCTTGTGGTCAGGAGGTAAGTATAGTTGGCTCTGATTCAAATTTGCCTCTTTATGAGGTATATTGATGTTCTTCCCTTATTAAAATAGTGATACTTACTAGTATTTTAAATATTTCCTAAAGGTGGACAGCATTCATTGTCTTACTTTGAGGCAGAGTTAATGAAACAAACTTTGCTTTTATTTTGAAGTTACCCTTTAAGTAATGGTGCCACAACAGTAAATATTGTGATTTTGATTTCTGCATATTTCTTTTATCACAGGTGATCCTTTCAAGGATGATCCCTTTGGAAAAATTGGTTAGTGTTTTACTGAAGTCCTTCTTAGCTTTAATTTAATTCTTCTTAATTATAAGCTTTTGTTATATTTATGAATGAGAGATCACAGTTGGGTAGTTTTAGAAATGGACTTCCTTTTTATTCAGTTTTAAAATTGACCTAAGGCATTACTAAGATGTTGTATGTACCTGGCATTTTCAGAGAAAAAGTGACAGATACTTGTGAATTTGCTTAGTAAACTGTTAGCTATACTTTATAAAAAATTACATTAGTGCTTATACTTTGATGTTTTTAATACATCAAATGATTCCTTGATGCTTTTAATACACTCGTTTCTTCTTATTAGCCAAGGATTAGATAAATAAAATGATCTACATTACTATAGGATTTAGGACTTTTTTTCCCGTTCAATTATAGCCTATTACAGATCTTAAATAATTACTGTGTCAGGCTTTTTAAGATTCTTTCTCTGGGATTTTCACAAATCTGGTGTGCCATTTAGTTATGCTTCCCAAACCTGTTCCAAACTGTTTGCTGTTATCATTGAGCCCAGAGAGAGAAATACATTTAGAAATTTTTGTTGTTTCTTTGCTTCCCTGGTGGCTCAGATGGTAAAGAATCTGCCTGCAGTGAGGGAGAACTGGGTTCGATCCCCGGGTCAGGAAGCTTTGTGGAGAAGGGAACAGCAACCCACTCCAGTATTCTTGCCTGGAGAATCCACGGACAGAGGAGCCTGGCGGGCTGAAGTCCATGGGGTCGCAGAAAGTCAGACACGACTGAATGACTAACACTTTCACTTAACATTCCTATGTGTTCTTTTTTTCTTTCTGCTTAGTTATAATAGCATAGAATAAGGGTCTTTAAAGTGGGATCACTTGATATTATGTGCTAATTAAAAAAAAATCAGTTTATTGGGTGAAAAGCTCTTTTAGCAAAACCACAAAGAAAACTGTGATCCTTTCCCCACCCCCAAAATTAGAATCACCAGGTTAGAGGGAAGTATTTAAACCTAGTGTATAGGCAACATTGTGTAATAAGTGTTGGAGTTATTGACTTGCTTTGAATGAATAATGAACAAGTAGGAAAGAATGTTAATTAAAACTGCTTAACTAGATCTAACTGTCTATACATTTTTATGACCCAGATAAGTAGTCATAAAATACCTGACTTAGACTCTATAGGAGTTCAAAATCCCTTTTAATTAAGGCAGTTGTCATCAGAGACAGGAAATTTAGAGTAATAATCTTTAATCTCTCATATTTGTGTTGTTTTTTTAGATCCATTTGGTGGTGATCCTTTCAAAGGGTCAGATCCATTTGCATCTGACTGCTTCTTCAAGCAGTCTTCTACTGATCCTTTTGCCACTTCAAGTACTGACCCTTTTAGTGCAGCCGGCAATAGCAGTAATACATCGGTAAGTAGGGTTTAAAACATGTTAAATGGACCACAGATGTTTTTTTTTTTTTAAGAGCAGACAGTTTATTGTCTGGTGAAATAACAAAATCATTAATCATTGCTAGATAGTAAATTTCTTGAGGGTAGGAACTATATCTTACAAAAAATTTAGTACACATGCCCTGCCTGTACTTTGGTTCAGTCATCAGTAAATATATGTTAACTTCTGCTTAATGGTCAGAGAAGAGGTAGGGAAAGAGACAAATGTAGAAAAAAAAGCAATTTACCAGTAGTAAAATCATACACTATTCGAGTCATCTTTCAAATCTGAAAGATAGAAATAATTCAGTAAGTACTCACTCTAGACAAGAAAATTGTTTGCCAAACTGCCACTAACTCCTGGGAATGAGACTCATACCTTTACCTTTCTTGTAAATCCTGTTCCTTCCAAGTGGCAATATAAGGCATAGAGATAACAAGCAAAGGACTTATTGGCCTACTATATTTTGTCTTTAAAAAAATGAGTATACAGTGGATCTTTTGTATTCTGTCTACAAACAGATGAGTTAGGTGAGTTTCTTGAAATACACAGTGATGAAAGAATTCTCTTCTAGATTACTTCTGACGGGTGATATAAAAATTTCAGTCTCATCGAACCTATCTAGTTTTTGGTTCAGACTGGCATTTCACACTGTGGGCACCCACTGAAATTGACAGAATACTCATGTCATCCAAATATCAAGTCCACCCTTCAAAGGAAAAAATATTATTCCATTGGCGATTTTAAAAATAAATGATTAAAAATCCATAAGCCAGTCTTCAGTAAAGCTTTTTGAAAATATTTGGTATGCGTTATTGAAATAACGAAATCAATTTTAAAAGAACAGCATTGATCTTTTAAAAAAAATCATTTCTGTTATTTTGTGGGCTTATCTAGAGTGTTATTCTTGCAAAGAGGTATTAATTCCCACTAAATGTCAGACTCTCTTGATAACATACATAGTACAACAATTACTATTTAATAACCACCCCCTATGATCCAAGTACTGTTGTGGGCTTTATATTCATAGTTTCTAATCTTCACATCAGTCTTACAAAGTAGGTGTTGGTGTCCCTATTTTAACAATAAGAACACTGAAACTCAGAAAAATTAATTAAGGTCAGGCAACCAAGTCTGGAGGCTTTGAAAACAAAGACTTTGAAAACAAAATCTTTATATTAGGATATTTAAACACTTGCAAAATAGAGTAACATAATGAAGTATTTTAACCTCTGTGTATCTATAGCCCAATTTCAATAATTATCAATGGTTTTGGAGAGGTTTTTAATTTTTTTCCTTGCTTGGTTTTTTTAAGTTTTTATTTGAAGTCTTATTTTTTGAGACAGGATATTTCTCTAAGTAAACCAGATCTAGAAAGGAGCAGTTGATTGACAAACACGTGAAGCAGAAATTTTGTCTTTTAATACTCTTAGATTAAGAGAACTTCCTTAAAAGCATAATTGATTATTTTAAAGGTAATAAACTTTGGTATTCTTGAATTGCTTCCTTACTGTATTCATTAACAAACTACTTGGCCAGCAACTGGTTTTTTCCACTGTTGTAAAACTAAGCAGATGCCTCTGTAATTGAATATTTGTGGTTTCCACAGGCTACTGGATACTTTGTGTTCCTGCAACACTCATTTGTAGTGTGGACCCATTTGCCAAATTCTTCTCGAATTGCCCGCAACCTGAATTCTTTCCCTCTCACCTTATTTTAGCCTCTTGTTATCTATTCTTATTGTTTAAAAAGCAAGAGGACAAAGCAGCTCATCCTAATTTAAAAATAAGCATGTTTCTTCTCCTCTCCCCTGGTGAAATTTTTCTACGATTCATTCTACTACTTTTTCTCCTTTCTGCCTGGTTTTTGAAAGCAGCAGTGCCCTTGCTGACAGTTCTTAATTTCTCCATTCAAAACTGTAAACTAAACACCAAATTGGCAATATAATAATAGTTAAATTTATCTAATCTCTTCTATGTGCCAGGCATGGTGCTAAGTTCTTTTCATGTGTTACCTCATTTAAGCATCACAATAATCCTATGAGGCTCATGTATCATCCTCATTTTAAAGATAAAGTAAATGAGAGGTTATTACATGTAAGTAAGTTAGTAAGTGACAGAACTAAATTCAGACTCTATCTGACCAAAATCTAAGGTCTTCACCACTGTAGTCTAAGATTCAAACTCATTTTTTCCTAACTACAAACCCCTGCTTTTGGCCATCTTTCTTCTTTTCAAACAGGCCTCTGTTAATGCCTTAAGATATCAGTCTCTCCCCACAAGTCTTTTCTGTTCCTTCAAGGGTGGTCTCTTTTCTCAGAGGGACATAATTTTAAAAAACAAACCAAAACAACAAGTGCCATTTCCTACTATCCTAGCTAGCATATGGTAGCTACTGTATACATGCTAAGTCATACTGTGAAAGGAGGGAATGGATGGCTGATGTAGAGAAGAGAGAATTTCAGTGATAGATTAGGTTAGGTGACCTTATAGGAGGATTTGGAACATTAATTCTATAAAATCATACCATCTGAATTTTAGTCATGAAAATTACTTTTGTATACTAAATTGCCTAATTACCAAACTGAACATAATACAAAGAGAGTTTTGTGGGTACTTACTCCTTCATGGGCTGCATAGTCCATCCTGTTCCTCTTGCTGTCTCAGTGCCCTTTTAGGGTAAGTGCACAGTGTGTGGGCTTGCCATGTGGCACTAGTGGTAAAGAACCTTCCTGCCAATGCAGGAGACATAAGAGACCCAGGTTTGATCCCTTGGTCAGGAAGATCCCCTGGAGGAGGGCATGGCAACCCACTCCAGTATGCCTGCCTGGAGAATCCCATAGACAGAGGAACCTGGCAGGTTACAGTCCATGGGGTCACAAAGAGTCAGACACGACTGAAGCAATTTAGCATGCATGCACAGTGTATGATAAAGGAATAGAATTATATATGACACATATGGGCCTACTTTTTCTATTTCTCTCTCTGTGATGGTAAATAAAATCTACAAGCTATTTAAAACCAGGTCTGTTGGTTTTTCCTTCTCTCACAGTTGAGAAAAGAAGCATTAAGAGTTGGTGACTTGTGTTATCATGTCAGTGACTCTGTCTCACATTGGTATTTTAACTATCATATTAGGAACCATGGAGAGTTACTTTGCTATACAGACCAGCTTGATTTTTTTTCCCCTTTATTGCTGTTTATTCATTTAGCAGATAATCAGAGTACAAGCTAGTGTGTTCATTTTATAAAAATGTAAGTTCAGATAAGCATCAGTTAAAATTTTCAGTTCTAAAAACATCACTATTCTTTCTGCAAGTAGTTTTGTTTTAATGGGTCCTATTTTATAAAAAGAAAATATATGGTAAGTCTCAGTGAGCGTTGTTTCTCTCTTATCAAATACATCTGTTTAACTTGAGCTCTGTAATATCCTTTGACGTTCAGTTATAATACCTAAGTTCTTGATGATTAGAAGTAGATTGTGTAATACAGATGACATTGATAGTCATGAGTCAGAGTAGGAGATAAATATTCTAAAACTCGTTTTGTGCCCCTTTTATCTAATTGTATGCCAAGACTTTTAGCTGGCCTCTTAAAAAGAACCTGATGCCAGAAAGAGAAAGTTCAGTTACCTTCCTAGATATACATTTTGTTTGGCTATGATTTAAAACCAAGCTGAAGTAGGAAGATAGTTCGGTAGTCAGAATCTCTGGCTTCTGTAAAGCATTTACAAAATCCTTTCTCTTTGTAGCCATTCACACTTATCATTTGATCCAGATTTTTTACATGACTTATTATTGAAAGTGGCTAAAGTTTTTTTTTAATAGAAAGCATTCTCTCTCTCTCTCTCTCTCTCTCTCTCTCTCTCTCACACACTCACACACACACACACACACACACACACTGACATTAGAGAAAGTTGGGTGAAGGGCATATAAGAGGTCTCTGTGTTACCTTTACAGCTGTTCTAGAAATCTACAGTTATTTCAAAATGAAAATTAAAGAATAGTGTGCATCTAAACAAGTAGCAAAATTATGAAGGAAAGAAATGGATACCACCAATGCCAGGGTAATAATGATCTTTACAGAGGGGAGGGATGGGATTGTGATTAGAGCAGGCACATGAAGACTTTTGAGATTTTGGCAGTTTCATAGATGTTCACTTGATACCTTTTATTAAATGGTTCATAATGTTCCATACACTTTTCTGAATGTATGTTTTACAGTAAAAGATTAGAAAATGATACGAATCATTTCATTTTAATAAGATTGCAAATCAGTAGGGGTAAACACTTGTTCCTAATGCCTTGTATTTCTTAATTAGTTTAGAGTTTGTGAAGAATATTTTCTTTGGTGTGGCAATAAAGTTTCAGCTATGAAAAGTTTCCTCTCTCAATCATGACTTTGTGTAATTTGTTTAGGTAGAAACATTAAAGCACAATGATCCTTTTGCTCCTGGTGGAACAGTTGTTGTTGCAGCAAGCGATTCAGGTAAGGAAATAATTTTCTTTGAACAGTAAACATCACCCTTTCTTTCAACTTCTTTTTTTTTGGTCTTCATCAAATATATTCTCCTATTTACTTGCTTATGGCTTTAAGATTATTGCATAGTTATTAGATTGGTACAAAAGTAATTGTGCTTTCAGACCTGAATTTTAAATCATTTTAACTAGGGTCAAAGCTATGGTTTTTCCAGGAGTCATGTTTGGATATGAGAGTTGGACCTTAGTGCTGAAGAATTACTGCTTTTGAACTGTGGTGTTGGAGAAGACTCTTGGGAGTCCTTTGGAATACATGGAGATCAAAACAGTCAATCCTAAAGGAAATCAACCCTGGATATTCATTGGAAGGATTGAAGCTGAAGCTGAAGCTCCAATACTTTGGCTACCTGATGCGAAGAGCTGACTCGTGGGAAAAGACCCTGATGCTGGGAAAGATTGAAGGCGGGAGGAGAAGGGGCAACAGAGGACAAGATGGTCGGATGGCATCACCGACTCATTAGACATGAGTCTGAGCAAACTCCAGGAGATGGTGAAGGACAGGGAAGCCTGGTGTGCTGCAGCCCATGAGGTCTCAAAGAGTCAGACACAAATGAACGACTGAACAATAACAGTAACGGGGTCAAACACATCTGTATTAATCAAAATAGAAGCTATTAAAGTCAACACATTTTTGCCAATGAGAAATAAATTTTATTCCTGTAGCATAAAAATCTGTGCTTTAGGATTTGACAAACTCTTGGAAAGCATTTTCTGTGTCCTGCTGGTTGTGGAAGCATTTTCCCTGTAAAAAGTTGTTGAGATACTTGAAGAAGAAGTGTTAATCAGTTGATGAGAGGTCAGGTGAATATGGCAGATGAGCCAAAACTTCATTGCCCAATTTGTTCAATTTTTGAAGTGTTGGTTGTGTGACATGGGGTTGGGCGTTGTCTCAGAAAAGAATTGGGTCAGCTGTTAGTGTTGCAGTTTTCCATTCATCTCATCGATTTACTGGGCATACTTCTCAGATGTAATGGTTCTGCTGTGATTCTGAAAGCTGTAGTGGATCAGACCACCAGCAGACCACCAAAGAGTGACCATGACCCTTTTTTTAGTGCAAGTTTGGCTTTGGGAAGTGCTTTGGAGCTTCTTCTCTGTCCAACCACTGACCTATTTGTCACTGGTTGTCATATAAAAATCCACTTTTCATCACACCTCACAATCAAGTTGAGAAATGATTCATTGTTGCATAGAATAAGAAAAGACAACACTTAAAAGTGATGATTTTTTTGATTTGTGGTCAGTTCTTGAGGCACTCACTTCTGGAGCTTTTTCACCTTTCCAATTTGCTTCAAATCCCAGATGACTGTAGAATGGTCAACGAGTTCTTGGGCAACTTCTTGTCTAGTTGTAAGACGATCAGCTTCAATGATTGCTCTCAGTTGGTTGTTGTCAACTTCCAATGGCTGGCCACTTTTCTCGTCACCTTCAAGACTGTTGTCTCCTTTGCAAAACTTCTTGAACTACCAGTGCACTGTATGTTCATTAGCAGTTTCTGGGCCAAATGCATTGTTGATTTTGTGAGTCGTCTCTGCTGCTTTGACCCATTTTTGAACTTAAATATGAAGACTGCTCTAATTTGCTTTTTGTCTAACAATCATTTTCATCGTCTGCAATGCATATAAAATAAGCAGCAAGTAAAATTTATTAGCAAAAAGCATAAAACAAGAAATGCACATCAAAATGATATATAACATAATCACTTTTATTTAAGAATGTATTCCAATATCAAATGGCAAATTTCAGCAATATTAAACCGCAATTACTTTTGCACCAACCTAAATGTATCCTATTACGTTCTACCAATAATAATAATGGTGTTTGTGTATTACTTTCTACTTTTCTTATCATTATCTCATTTACTGTTCATGTTAAAGAGCTTAATATGTACTCTAGCAAATGTCAGTAAAACCAATAAAAATGTCTTTTTGCTTTATAAAAGACAGTGTTCCTTGGCAGTTTCAAAGTCAGCATTGATTCTTATGGATAGTGACCTAAATTTAAAAATTAGTGGCTTCCCATATTAGCAAAACTCCCTTGGGATTTCCCATGTTTCTCCAGCAAAAATATTATAGGAAAAAAAAGAGAAGGGGGAAGAAACTTAAAAGTTAAAACAAATTTAAGGAGCGTATCACGTAAATAATACGTGTAGATCTTGCTTGCACTTGATTTGAATAAATCAACTAAAAAAAGATTTATGAGATGAAAGAAATTTGGACAGGTTGACATTAAGAAATTTTTTTATTTTTTAAGATGATATGAAAATGCTATTATAGTTTTGTCTTTTAAAAAACAGTCTTCAGAGTTCCCTGTCAGTGCAGTGGTTAAGACTCTGCACTTCCGCTACAAGGGGCACATGTTCAATCCCTGGTCAGGCAACTAAGATCACACATGCCACATAGTATGGCCAAAACCAGAAAAACAAAACAAGTCTTTATCTTAGAGATACATTATGTCAGATTTAGAGATGAAGTGATTAAATTGGGGTTTGTATCAAAATAATCTTGTAGAGTGATTAAACTGGAGTGTGTATAGGAAATAAAGTTGCTAAGTACTAAAGCTAAGCAATAAATACATAAGCGTTCATTATACTAGCTTTGTATTTTTATCTATTTTGAATTTTTCATAAGAAAAGTTTTTAAAAATAAAATCAGTAAAAAATAAAAATCAATGGCTTCCCATAGGTAATGTAATAACTTTACAAATAGTACATAGATTCTGTTAATAATACAGAGAAAAGCTAAATGTTATTCTGGCATACTGTCTTCATGCTTTACTTATGGAATCTAATTTTCCATTTATCCTAAACCTTTTAAGTATTATTCCCACTTTATTTTATTATTATTTTTAAAGAGTCTTGGCCTTTTCACACACCCGAAGTATGTCATACTTTTATTTATTTATTTAGGCTGCACCTTGCAGCATATGGAACTTCCCAGATCAAAGGTTGCACTGGTACCCCCTGTAGTGGAAGTGCACAGTCTTAACCACTAAACCACCAAATAAATCCCATATTCCCACTTTAAAGGTCAGGAAACTGAAGATACAAACATTAAGTAACTTGGTCAAGATTTACAGTTTTATTTTATTTATTTTATTTTATTTACAGTTTTATTAGATTTGAACAATAAAGCCAAGATTCAAACCTATGGCTGATAGAGTCTAAAAGCTTTTTCAACTAAGTAACTATTTCTCTCTATTCATTTATTGTCTAGGAGAGCAGAGAATTAGAAGTAGACTCAAACATGTAAATACTTCAGTATCATGCTAAAAATAGGGTGCCTTATTTTTCCAGATGAAAATAGAGTGAGTTATTCAGTGTAGAAATTTGCTGATTGTGACAAATTGAGGATTATGAGTGTAGAGAAAGATTAGTATAGAAATGCCTTCACAATTTGAATTTCTTGGGTAAATATCAAGATAAGATTCAACAGTGTGCATTATTTGTTTTCAGCTTGAAGATTAACATCCGACATAAGTAATAAAGAATATAAAAAAGCAGATATGTAGAAAAAAAGATTTAATGTAGTGCTGGGTTTGGATTTAACCTAAAATTTAGAACTACAGCAAATAAGATTTCTAAAAGGCTTATTGTAATAAAAGTGGTCAAATTGTATCTTTTTAAAATACATGAGCTCTTTTAGAGTCTCATTATTGAACTGATGAATTAATGTATTGATAGGGATATTATATGATAAGAAAGGATAACCTAAGAGAATAAAATGAAAGGGTAATACATTTTAATTAACTCTTGATTGCCCACACTGAGGAATGGTAAGTGCCATGAGAATTCATTAACGCTGCAAGCATTTAAAGAAAAGGGAGATGGCCTCCCTTTAGGGCAACACATGAATGATTTCAGAGCAGAAGGTGGCTTTTGTGGTATGCCTTGAAAGAATGGCCTACATAAGTAGATATGGGAAACGTAGTTAAAGCAAAGAGAGCAAGGACATATAGTGCATGTTCGAAGAAAAGCAGACGTTTTGGTAAAGCTTACTTATAGACAGGAATAGTCAGGTTAAGTAAGGCTAAAGTGGTAGATTGTGATCTCAGTATAGGTTTCTGTTGCTTTTGTTGGTCTTCTCTTTCAGTTCCAGTTCCTAGCTCATTTCCTGTAAAGTGGTAGATGACTATAGTAGACTGGAAGTGGGCTAAGGTTTATTGTTGTTATCATCATAGTAATAGATACCATTTACTGAGCACATGCTTAGTTCCAGCACTGCATGTGCTATTTTCTCATATTTGGTCTTGTTTAATTCTCACAGCAACTACCTGAGAAAATTGCTGTTATGTTTATTGTACAGACAAGGAAAACCAAGAAATGGAGAGATGAAGCCATTTCACAAGGTTAAGGAAGTTGTAATAGATGGACTCACATTCAGATGATGTCTCTAGTTTTCCACCAGCCTCTTTGGTCCTTCTTTCTCTGTCTCTTTGCTAATTCTTTCTCTTTTCCCAAACTTCTTTATGTTATGTTGCTCTAGGTCTTAGACTCAGAACTTGTCTTCTCTGTCTCTGTTCCTTGGGGTTCTCATCTGGTTTTATGGTTTTACATACTCTTCTCCGTGTTGATTTCTAACTCTAGCCACACTTTTTCCCATGAACTCCAGACACCTGTATCCAGTTATCTACTGACATCTCCACTCAAACATCTCATAGATATGTCTAACACAACACACCTAATCTTTCTTCCCAAACCTGCTTCTCTTGAATCTTTCCCCATCTTTTTTTTTTTTCTCAAATCAAAAGACTTTTTATTGCCTCTTTAAAATATCACAGTTGAATCCATAGAACCATCTGGCATCTTGCTGTTTCTGCAGCCGGACCACTCAGATCTTATTCATCAGCCTGCTGAACTGTTACTTTTTCAGAAACATAGATACCATCCAAAAACTTTGATATCCTTGTCTTTAACTGTGGTGGCTTGCTGAATCAAAGCAGCCAAATTTGACA